TACTCGAACCTGTTACACTGTTATTTACCCATTCACGGAGACCGGCTATATTACCTACTTATTATATACTGATATTTTTATAACTTAACTTTTTATATTTATTTATTAAAACTTCGATATATCATAACATAAATTATTAGTGATGTAACGGTCGGCCTCATCGCTAGCTGGGGATCTCTTCCGGGCGACCCTGGTACGGAAACAAAAGATGCTAAGGGTAAATATAATGAAGATATAGAAAAGGACATACATCATGTCTTAGCGCTTCAAATGGGGTATTAATGTATCGTATAGGTTGTATAAGGTGGTTTGGCCATGTAAAACTGAAGAATAAGAAGCGGTTAATAAGTAGGATATACAAGGCAGCCGTGGCTGGTGAAGTCGGGTTGGGTAGGCCTTGTCGTGCATACCTGGACTAAATCCAGGAGGTACGAGTAGTAGCGAAGGGACAAGAGTAAAGTTCCCATAACCGACCATGCCTGGTGAATGTCATGAAAGTGGATGAAGCGTGAGATTCTTCATCTGGAAATGCGCAAACGGTCGTTTTTAAATGTGATAGTAAAAGCATCCGAAATTTCATATGTTGGCATTCTTTCGCAGGATAAGAATTTTTTTCTTTATTAATATTAACAAAGCTTTCGCTATACAAGGTAATAATCACATTTTTATTAGATATCTGTAACGAGAGATTATTATAAAAGCTTTCATTAATAGAATAATTATTTTGTTAACATTCCTTAGTATATGTTCTAAAAATTTATGTTAGTTTTGTTCACGAGAGATTATATAATATTAAATAGAAATACGGAATACCGAAATCCTATTTCAGTGAATTGGAACATGTTCGAATGTACTAGGTAACATTAACAGCTTTCTATTGAATCAATCAATTGACGCTTCTAAAATTCTCAAACCAATAAACATGGGGCAATGTGGAATTCACAAATACCTGTTGTATAAAGTATTTAGAAGTTTCTACTCAATATTATTTTTTAATTAATTATCATTAAAATTTAGTTTTATAGGATGCATTTTGCAATACGATGCGTCGAATTTAAAAATATTAAAAAGTCATTTCTGCCTATGTCTTCATAAAAAGTTATGCGCTATCAGCTAATAAAAAGTAATACCGCCATAGACACTCTCAATGCCAGAGTGTGAGTGCGTCACCGGCCTTTTAAGAATTGGTACGATTTCTTCTTAAAGAACTCTAAGGCTACGTCCGCACAGGCAGGAGGTTTGCTTAGCGCCTAGCGCCTAGCGAGTCACCAAGCGAGTAGCTTAGTAAAACGAACGTTCTAGAGTCTTCGCGAACGGCCGCATTGCGCGCTTGGCGCCTAGCTAGTCGCTTAGCGTGTATCGAAGTAAACAAACGTGTTGGTTTTTGTCGCTAGGCGCGAAGCATTTTCGTGGTGGATGAAATATTAATTTCAATAGTTTTTAAAAGGGAACCTCTGTGGAATCCCTCTAATCAATTCCATAAAAATGCAGTCGTCTTAAAGAAGCTACGGGAAGAGGTAGCAATCGAAGTAGAAAAATACTGTTATGCTTTTTCGTAGATGAGTATCCAAATGAGTCAATTTTACTTTAACTTTACTGAAAAGTAGATCAAATGTTTCTCTGGGCATACGCAAATATTCGTAAAACTTTTCGTCATAATTACGCAATTGTTTATACAGAACATTAAACTCCCCATGACTTGACCGTAACTCTTATTTATGTCTTGGACCCAACATGGTAGAGAAGGTCGTGAAGTTGTATATTTTAAAGAATATTTTTCTGTAAGTAGCAGTTTCAGAGCTATTTTTGAAAGTGACATGTCGCTAACGTGCCGACAAACAAATGACCAACGCACCTAGCGAGCCACTACGCAAGACACCTTTAGTCCGGCCACCGTAGTCACCTAGCAAGTAGCCAGGCGGCAAGCCTCCAGGCGCTAGGCGCTAAGCAAACCTCCTGCCTATGCGGACGTAGCCTAAGTCGAATTGGTACGGAAATACTTCAGTGGGTAGCCACATAATGGTGGTGCGCGGAAAAAAGTGGCTTAAACGTTAATAATTAATTTTGGCTTTTGTAACGCATGATTGCAAACTCAGATATATTTTATTATCTGGTATTAGTCATCTATTTATGGAAATAGCATTATTTCAAAGAATCACTGACTCAGAAGTAAAATCCACTTGTTTCTTACCAGGCATGATTAAACACGTATCTTTCATATACAATAACTAATGAAATACATATTTAAACCACTACATACCTGAGGTCAGGAGTTCAATCCCGAGCTTTGCGACCAATGTATTTTTCCATCCTTTAACGCAACACTTGCAAAAGGTTAACCAGTCGGAGTCCGTTTTTAAATCTTTCAAGTTATTGATACAATTTAATTGTATCGTAACCTTGTACATTAAATTACCAATGACTGACATTAAATATTTCTCTGAAGGCCAGAAAAAGGGTAACAAGTCACATACCGTATATTTTAACTGTACAAATTAATATAAATCTTGGTAAATTGTGCTAGAAATTATGTGGTACGCAAGAAACAGAATTTCTAGTACGGAATATTCACATTAATTCATATTTACATTGCGCATAATTATTGCTTATAAATCATCAACCCAGTGTACAGACTTGTAGGCGTATTCAAACTTTACGATGTAGTCCTGTTTAGAGTTTTTGAGCTCATAATGTTCTTAGGAAATAAATGGAATTGTGCAATCAACAAGAATGTACTTAAAAGAAAAACTCTCTAGTGCATGTAAAACTGTTAACGAATTGAGATGAATTGGGACTCAAAAGTCCTAAATTTTACTGCATGTTAAAAATAGTATAGTAAGTTTAAGTTTTACAATAATCACTGTAATTGCTTAAGTCAAGATAATGTTGTTTAAGGTTTTAATTATTGTTTCAGTTCCACTATTCACACTTAATAATTGTAAATTGAAACAGTTTTTACATCGTAAAGTGTTTTATTTATATATTATATAACTTTAAATGAGTTATTTAAATTACGTTGTTTTACGTAATACCTGTGCCATTTAAGATAGTATAATGACAATATTCCTATTATGTTATCATAAACGTTTTTGTACTGCGACACCCATTTTCTCCGTGATAAGAGATGATAGTGTGACCCTAATTATATGAAATTAATTTGTAATTAGTTGTTATTATCTTAATGTTGCGGTCAAGTATCACTGAAGCATATATATTATATATACCTTTTTATTTTTTGGTTATATACAATTACGATATTATTTTGAAAATATTACTGCCTCCTTAGTTATAAGCCCATATTAAAATTATAATAACTAGATCAGGTTAAAGGAGGATGAAAAGTGAAAACTTTCTTCTTCATACCGTATTTTAACAGATTAAATTTTATATGACTCTTTATCCAATTCAACAACTGTCATGCTTTATTTCTTTAATTTTAATCCAAAACTTTGATAGTATATTTCTAGTGTTACATGTAATTTTATGTTTTTTTGTTAATTATTTATGCAATTCTTGTACTTAACCCTTAGTTGGCGTTTCTTTTTCTATTTTTCCATTCTTAGGTTGCCTTAAAATCGCTTGTTAGCGATAAGGCCGCCCGATACCTAATAACTTATGTAAACTTATTTATATTTAAGGTAGCGAAGTGTAAATAAATAAGGTGATCTATATCGTGTATGAAATACACTTAAAATTTATTTGATAGAAATGTGTCGCTTTTATTAATTAATTATCTTACGTAACATGTGTAAAACATCAAGGACAGTAAAAGAAAACTTCTATGTTTTAAGAACTTTTTATCAGAAAGAATTTTGTTATCAGCGGAACGGCCGACGCTTTGATAAGGTTATCGTTTATAGCTTGTAAGTTACACCTGTGTTATGCAACTATAATCTTTAATAACAAATCAGGAAGCCAGTTTTTTGGTGGCTAAACTTTTATTTTCGTAGTTGATAAATATATCGAAATGAATCGTGAGACAATTATGACATAACACACCACGTTTATACTTTGGTGTAATATAGGCGAATGCTGATGTTATAATTTTAAATTTGATTACAGAATAAATTCTTTCTTTTTATTTTTTGGACTTTGAAAAGTAAAACGTTCATCAGATCTCAAAAGTCCCATCATAGCCGTCAGAGCAGTCTGAAAAGCATGTCAAATGTGGTTGCCGTACATTATTTGGAAAAGCCGTACATTATTTATTAAAACATAAAACAATTCAGTTTGTTGTAATGTGAGTTGATTGTGCGCCACGCATCTTGGACTTTAATCGAAAAGTATTTAATTTTTTGCGTTGACTAACTGTGAACATTTCTTCTTATACTTTGACATGTACTTACGAAATTTAATACGAAATTTATCTTTAAAAGATAACAGAATAATAATAAATCTTTTACTTTCACAAGTGGCTGGGTTATAAATAAAAAATATAGCGTCTTACTTGATATCTACCTAGACTACAGTTATAAAAATATTTATTCTGCGAGGATTATTAGTCGCGTCCGGTTTGAGTTCATAGCAAGTACGAATTTAAAAAGCGAAGGCGCCAGAGTGCTTCTAGACAATCCAGATAGTAAACATGGCGACCGGTTTTCAATAAATCAAATTAACTTCGAAATAAAAAGTTGTTTACGCTACTTGTAAATTTTTTAAAACAAAGCACGCTTTATACATGTAACCTATTCATTGGAGAAAATGTCAAATAACGAGATAAACACTGAAACTTAAACACAAACTTATGATTCAGAATATAGTCGTTTTTGTATATACGTATAGGTACATGATTATTCGTAATGCAAATCACTCACTTGGGGTCGGTTGACCGTATTTGGGTTTTCAGTATATTATTGTCTATTGACTGTTTGTGTCTTTATTAAAATCTCCATTTGCATCATATGACTATGCTATGTGATACGTGTATAATGTAGGATTACGTTTATTCAAATATTCAATATTAACCCTTAAAAACTATTCTTTCCAGATGGCGTAAAGTAATGGAGGGGGAGTGCTTGGAAGGCGAGGGCTGGCTGCTAGTGCGGGTGCACGTGCCAGAACTCAACGTGCAAAAAAGCCTGCAGTTCACGCGAGATCAACTCGTCTGGGACGTGAAGCAACAGTGCCTCGCCGCCTTGCCCAAGGTACTATTAAATTTCATAGACGACTTCTGCTTTACTGGTGTTTTTCTTTAAGCTGGTGTTTTGTGCATTCCAATAGAAATAATGATTGTTTTGACAGGAATTCGGGGACCAATCGGCTGTATTCTAATTAACTAATTAAGATGTTCTAGCAATAAAATCTAATCTACAGATTTACATCGAAACAATGCTTCGCTAAAAAGTTACATTAAATAATACAATTTAATGACCCATTAGATTTTAATTAACGTCGACTTCCTTTTTTTTGCCAATAAAAATAAAAGATCTTGTTGTAAAAGCAAAAAGCGTTTCGTTATTTAATTCTTCCCTTTTACTTTCCATTGTTTATTTTCGTGTACATATTTCGTTTCAATCTTATTTCCTTTATCTAATTTTTATTTTACCTAAAAAAATATATTTTTCTTATTGTAAATCTTGAGTAAATTGTAGTTATAAACTACAGGTTCATTGGTGAAACTTGGGGGGTTGATCCCCAAATGGTCATCATTTAGGTCATCTTACATAACCTAAACACAATTTCTCATTTAATTATACTCAAAGTTAAAATTAATGTTGGCTCAAATTTATGGACAGAATGTTAACGAAATTATTAGCATAATATTATTTTGCGATGATAACCGTCATAATTTGCTTACGCGATATAATTTCTTATTGAAAAATCACAAAATCTTGCATTTTATATTCGAGATTAATTTTGTTTATTTTATACACACATTTGTTCTTACCTAGTTTTTTCTGATCTAATTATTATAAATCAAAACAATACGTGTGCTTTTACCACATTTAAAAAAGTTATATTAAGAAATTAAGACATTATGACTTAAAGCAAGTTAATTATGAAATACTCCGGAGGCTACTTTGATTAGTTCTAAATGAGTTGTTAGTTCTAGAAATTGATACAATATCTAAAGACATATCACTTAGCCCTGAATCATAAAAGTTAGTTTGTAATTTTCAATAGCTTATCCATAATCCCACGCAAACGTAGGCGAAACAAGACTGACGACAGTTTATACTTGCCACTTGCAGGGTGAATTGATGCAAACGACATACATTGCTTGCGTTTCAATTATTTTCCAACCTAATGTACGTTGAGTAATTCAACACAGCAATGGTTGTTTACAATTATAGGTAAATGTTGGTGATTATGTGAGCAATGCTCATGCATATTATAATTTTTGCTAATGCAGTTACAGTAGTAGCTGACGCCGCGATTAAATAGATTTATTATTGGAATTATCTTAGTGTACGCGCTATACAAAATAATTAATAATTAAAATATTATTAACGTAATCGTTGAATGATGTTCAGCAATACCATAGCACTGTTAGCACAGCGGTTTTCGAGCAGATACAATTTTTTTAAATGAAGGAGAAAGAGAAATGACCGACATGTTTTAGTCACTTTAACGAAACAGATATCTGTGGCCAATACCCATGGATGGATTTATTATTTAGAACAGTATTATTCCGTATTTATATGGTGTAAGCCCTAAAACAAGATATTGTGCAAATCGCGTAGGCGCTACTAGAATTGTTATAAATACAACAAAGCCAGACTTTCGAAGTCGTTCAATAAAAGCAAAAATTATGCATAAGAATTTACGAATTTGTGCCTTATCTCCCTCGTGCCATGTTGACCCCGGTATGAAAATAATAACAATAATAATTTATGATACGTTAATAAGGACACGCTTTCCACTAAGTAAATATTTAGCCTTATATGCTTGACACATGCCGTCAATTTTTTTTATGTAATAGGAGGCAAACAGGCAGGAGGTTCACTTGATGTTAAGTGATGTTGGCGCCCATGGACACTCACATTGCCAGAAGGCTCGAAGGTGGGTAGCCTTTCAAGAATTGGAACGCTTTTTCTTGAAGGACCCCAAGTCGAATTGGTTCGGAAATACTTCCGCGTATTATTTATGGGTCCAATGGGTTTAATTATGTACGAACGAGTGTTAAATGCGGACGTAGAAAGAAATGGCCATGGGTGCAGTGCCGTGTTTCCAACGCTGCGTGCGTTCAGGGTTGAGAGGCGCACGCACAAGCCACTTACCCTACATTGCCCATCTTTCTCTAAGTAATACTTGTTATTATTACTTAAAATATGAAAATGCAAATTACAAATAGCTATAGTAGGATTACGACAGACGCCTCAGATGAAACGTACTAGTACAGAAAAGCAAAACCAATAGGTACCGAATTCCATTGTTTGGAATGGAGTCTATTCCGAATCCACTAATAATAATTTATTACTTTCATTTTGGTTTTCTATTTATTTAAGAATCCATCCTCATTTTTACCATTAAAACAAACTATAAATTATTATAGAAATAATCATTAAAATGATTGTATATTATGTGCTTAATACCTTCCCTTTATGCATTAAAGAAAAACAAAAATAGACCGGCAAGATTCACATTATTATTCTTTGACCTTTTCTTAACTCAAATCCGTAGCCGAAATTCGACATTTTGCATACTTAACTACCTCTAGCGCCTGGACTATAAATAAGTCGTCTTCAAACGACAAAATAGAATTTAGATAAGTATCCAAAAGGCATATGATCTACACTTTTGACTAGACTTCTTGATATTTTCTATAAACGCTGTGTAAAGTATGTCGTGTTATTCTAGAAGGGCCTTCGATGATCTAATGTTTGTTTCTAGGAAAAACAATCAAATACGCCAGAACAGGTTTCACCGTTATCTGCCGGTAATTTCTTAAACCCGGCCGATGGTCACGCCGAAGTAATCTAACTGATCGATTTACATACTAACTGTATGAGCTTTGCTAGTTATTGGAACTTGACGCTTCACAAATGAGTAGCGAATGAACACAGGTTCACTTTGTAATCAAGAGGATCCTATTTTATTTCGTTACTCCAATAGACACGTTTAGGAAAAGTACTAGAGCCAAATGATATTGCAGATCTGACCAGACAGCGCGCGATCCTGAAGATGTGCAGACACTGGACGTTAAAATAGATACCTTTTATAGTACAACGATTTGAGAAACGATATATATGTAATATATTTAATTTTTTTTAATAATGATGAGAGCTATGATAGTTTAAACATATAATTTCTTGTGGGAGAATTATGTTTTGTTAACGGATGTCCCGCTTCATTTCTGAACCAGTTGGCAAATACAATTTTGTTATTTCTAGTTCTAAAGGCTTTTTCAACGCTTGAAATACACATACATGAAATTTGCATTAGAGGAACAACATGCCAAGTGTATCGACGCATCTTGTAAAGGATTTGTTTATTTTGCCTTATATTTATTAGACTAATGTTTACACTAAGAATTTATCGCCAGAACAAAAAAATATGTTCTGTGCTTTACGTTGCATAAAAAATTAATCTGTGGCTTTTGATTAATATGATAATGATATATAAAACTAATTTATTAATAATCTTAATAATAGTTACTCTTCTTTGAACTATCAATTGTTGATCTGACCTTCCCCCTAAAGCTATACTAATATAACTCCTATACCTACTTTTACGCTACCAAAGTAGGGCACTTACTAATCTTAGCCCAAAAGTTAAAAAATAACTAAACAAATTCGCGATTAACAATTATTAACCATTTATATATGTATTTGTTTTCGGTGGTGTCATCGGACCATCCAGGTGGCCACTTGGTACCGGGTATGTGTTTTGTTTAACCCTGTTAACCCTGTAAATAGCTGCATGAATCAGGATGTGATTCACTGAGGAATGCTGGCATGACATCGGTAAGGCTTCGACTGCGAAACATTGATACCGCTGTAATTGATTGAATTAAACTTATCGATTACTATCTAACCTGTACTTGTAAATGAAGTGTTAACAGGAAATTATCTTAAAACAATAAACCTATATATTATATATAATATATTAATACACAGTTGTTATTTACTAAGAGTGCTCATAATGGTACATTCATGTTTATAACATCTCCGGTATCCATTATTTTTAAATACCTGGGCTGCTTCTAGTTCTAGAAAAAGCTAATAGATTTTTTATCTATGCCCAGTTCAAATCAAAAGCACAGGCCAAAAACATTTGTTTCGCAGTCAAAAGCCACTCAGCATGACATACACCACAATATAACTTGGTGGTTGCTTTCCTTCTCTCGTATTCTTTATTGTCATTTCAGTCTAGCTGAGATTTTCGTATAAGCAGCAGGGTAAAGGACTTTCTCATCATCAATTAATTGCAGCTATCCATTTTAAGTGCTTCGTAAGAATTTAAAAACTGTACATTTATTGTGAAATGATTTACGCGTTAGTAAAAACGCACAAAGACCCATCTCTTATCAGGTTATATTTTTCTATATACGAATAGTTGCTCAATGAATCTGAAGTAAAAATTGTAACTATGTATGTACTTCGAATAAGAATTTTCATAGATATATTTTCATAATGATATTTCTCTTACTTAATCTTGTTCTCCTTTAAGAACTTCAATGTGTATAATATGTATATATATTATATACTCGTATAAGGCTATGTGAGACTTGAAGTTCACTTTTTCACACACAAATCTGTTACTTATGTACAGAATAGCATGATTGATATTGATTGATGTTATTACACTACACTTTTTTGTATGAATTTCATTGAAATGTACCTTGTAATATGTAATACCTTCGTTTCTGACATGTATAAAGTAGGATATAAGAAAATCAAAGGTAAGTTCATTTTTTATTCCATTATATAAACCTAAAGGGGAAACGACTGAAATTAATGATTTTATTATTACATACTTGAATTCGGACTCAGAATCAGCAAAGAGAAGAGAAGTGAAGAAGTTACATTGGAGCACATAATTTAGTAGAAAACCTTTAAACCTTAAATCAACCGTTCCGACGTTAATTCTACTATTTTTATAAGCACTGTGGAGGTGACATGTGCTGTTATAATGTAGATAAAAAATTATAATATGGTTAAAGCATACAATCAGTATACATACTTACATTACCTGTCCACATCGTATCCCTAACTTTAATAATACCCATTAACTGACGTGAGACTGATCTTAAATTAAATTATAATGATTCACTTTTTATTATTAGGTATTAATTTTTTTTTCATTTGTCCTTTATTAGTTTGTTTTTTGTTCATGTTTAGTTACTTTTTCTCAACAACTATATGTAATACATGTATTTTTGCACTTCTTGCCTACCTTATGTAATTTAATACTTTTTTTTCTTTTCTCACAGTCACAGGCAACCGCCTGGAAGAGATCGCTCGAAAGCGATAAGGCCGTCAGTTGCTCTCCTTTTTATTTAATTATATCAATTGTTCTATATTAATGTATATGCAACGAAGTGTTAATTTATAAATATACTGACTGCTACAGTAAGCGCGGGCTATTCTTGTATGTAGGACGAGAAGCCTGCGTATCGAGCCTTAAGTAGGTTGCGTTTCAATCTGTTTGTCCTTAATTTGCATTCATAAAGTCATATCTCCGTTAACCTTAGTTTACGAGTTATTCTTTTAGCCTTTTTTACGAATACAAGCGAGAATTTATTTACTCTAGTACTCGCGAACTAAAAAGTTGCTTTTGCATTGGACAATTAAACTGCTAATAGACTTTAAACTAAAGTGTGTAGTCAGTATGTTCAAGTATTACGTAACGAATTTTGGGGGGGGTGTCCTTTTTTAAAACGTTACGATGGGGGGCGGGGATTGAATAACGCGTTATTGTTAGTACATATTATTTTCGACTTTCCAGTACTTTACACCACATAATGGTAACATTTATGTATAAAGAGTCACTGGGTGGTCACGAAACGTTTTACTATTGGGTACAGAAAAACGTTACGGCGCGTTACATGGGGGGGTCAATAATGTCCAAAAATTGCGTGTCGTAATACTTGAACGCTCCCTTATGTAATAATAATACCAACGTATTTCTACTAACTTGGTATGTATATCTTGAAACTTATATTAAAGTAGGCTTCGCTACAGTTCTGTAATGCACAGATTCCGCGTCACAGCTTTCCTTTGTAATATTTACAAAGCAATGTTTGTATTTTTCATACAAAAAGTGTCGTGTCCCATTTTTAGATTGAAACGGGGACGTCCTGAGGTGGATCAATGCGGTTCAGAAACAAAATTGCGGTGAACTTTTTGTGTCTGTACCAAATCAGGTTATTTTTGGATACTTTGTTAACGTGTCGTGTTATAATGTCATAAGAGTTAGTTTTGCATAATTAATACGCACTTATGAGACATTATATTGATAACGGTTTATTTATGTTGCATTTAGAAAAGTTTTCGATGATTATTTGGCCTAAAGAAGACCCTTAGCATGAGAATAAATAATGTAAATGTTTATTACGTTAACGGAGTTAAGATGTATAGTATATGAGTGAAAATGGTTTATATTTGGAAAACGCAAAGTATTGATATTGTATCAAGGACGTATACGATAGTTGACAAAACTATCAACATTTTCAACACTATCACAACTACTACTTATTCAAAACCAATGTTTCCAATTCAGCTTACAAAAAATACAATTTTTTACACACTATCTTGTTTGAAATTACAGAAAGTCAACTGATTTAATATTATGACTTGTAGGCAAAAAATATTTAAAATATTATTCATTTTATTTTGATTTATTTACACTTCGTTGCTAAAAAATACAGTATAATTAAAATTATTTTAGTTTACAATTAAAATAATTGAACTATGACCGCTGCGTTTCATTTAAAAAAGATACGAATTTAATTGAAAATTAATCAAATAAACGACACTTTCTACATTTTGTTCCACGCTCGGTATTCATACTTCCAAGTTTTGCGATATTAAGTCCGAAAAAGTTCCCCGAAGGTCGTCACGCACGCTGTCGTGTAACAAAATATCTTCATGAATTCTAACATTACGTTTTATCGAGTTACAATATCGATACAAGGAAGCCGATACCCTTGGCTACTGCCTTCATGTCAGCGTAATTCGAATCATTCATCGGTAAATTCAATTAGAGTAACTTTGTGCTACTGCTAGGTATCAATTGTCAAGTTGACACCTAGCAGTAGCAAAATCGTCTATATCAATACAGTATTTATTCCATTTAGATATTTGTTCGTAATAATCTTCTTAATAAAACTATGTCGGGTTTGTTCCAATACTTATAACTCGAGAACGGCTGGACCGATTTTCATAGTTTTTGATTTATTGTATTTCTCACCAGAATATAATTAATAAATTACATTGGAATTAACGAAAAAAAACGAAAATAAAAAAGACGTACAGCCGCTTATTTATTTAAATAAATAAAATCATCAAAATCATTGGTAAATGTTTATATATGTATACTAACAGACTCGGCCAAGCGTTGCTGTGGCTAAAGTTTCTGTTATATTATATAGTAGTAAACTATTCAAGGGAAACGGTAGGAGAGCACCAGTCATGGGGACCACCATGCTTTGTTGGTGGTTATGCCATTAAATTGTAGCTTATGTGAAACGTTGGTACTTTCAACACAGCGCCATCTATTAGAATTGAGTCAAATTATAAAAAAATAATTTGCAATAACATAATATTGCGGGTATAAATTAAGATGTAAGCTAGCCTATCTTTTAAGTTAGATCAAACTGCACACGGTGTGCAAATTTGATTGAAATCGGTTCGGTAGTTTAGGAGTCCATAGCGGACAAACAACGTGACACGTAATTTATATATATTAAGATTAATAAAGTTTGCTGTAACATGTATATTATTATTGAATATTTTTTAAAAGATCACTGTGCAGACACAGTCTTTGTTTATCGTAATTTAATTAAAAGTTAACCCCTTAGCCTCATAGGTTGTTGAGAAACAACTTACAATTACTTCAAATTGAGGTACTAGTAATAAAATATTTCTCGATGGCTATTCTAGACACGTCAGACTAGTTATAAAGCCTAGACCGATCCAGAATACTGATTAATCGATTCTTCGAAATAGAGGCCTTGATTATGAAATGGAATTAGAACAGACTAAAAATAGAGCGTCAATAATTTATTTCGTAATATTTAGTCCAGACTGGACCGATTTGAAAAATTCTTTCACAGTGACTATTAGATAAGAAGTAATTTAAGAATAAATAATGATGATGTTTCGTGTGGTACCTATACGAATAAAAATATGGTATGTGTAAAGAAATAAGCATATTTCTTTTACATTGTTAATAATTATCTGTTTAACCGGTCATGTGTCAAAACTGACTTTTTTTTTTTTTATTTTTTATGGCTCTGGCACGGTTTGTGCATTAGCCAGCGTCAAGTATTAGATTTTAATGATTTTAGGCCTTAGAAATTCGACCATGTCCTCCATGTACGGTTTAGGCTCTCGCCCGGTACCGCACAACCCTTCCAAAGGCCGAGAACAAATTTAAATTAAATTAAAAAATGCCCTCGAACCGGGAATCGAACCCGGTACCCCTCACCTAGCTGCCACTTAATAAGACCGCTAGGCTATGAGGCTCCTAACGTTTTATTTAATTGTAATATTGAGAGTTTTTTTAGTCTGTGGAAAAAGAAGCGAGTTTTGGTTTGTCACTTGAATAATTACATGTTTGTTAGAATTTTTATGGATTTTATTTAAGAACCATTTTATACAATGTCTTGAGGAACTTTATTTATTAATAACAAATTCTTAATGGTATTATTCAATTATTTCATCAACACATTGGATTTTCATTTATCATATATATTTCAAACGAAAAAATAACATTTCGCA